GAAGCGAACGGAGATGTGGGAAGAAATATGAGACGGCACAGAGAGCCTCGGGCTCCCCACCAGGCTTCCCGTGGATGTTGTCCCCACGGCACCGGGACCCAGACCAGGGCTTGACCTGGATGCAGGACCCTTATGTTAGGTCGGAGAGAGCCCAGGATCGGACACATGCAGACGTGTGACGAGATAATGGACCCTCCCTGGCATTTCTAACAGATCAGCGTGCCAGACACAGATACCGGCTTCTCCCTGAATCCACAGGACCCCCACACAGACACTGACTCCTTCCTGAATGCCCTGCTGCCCCCCTGCAGCGGGAACTCCCCAGCTGAATACCTCAGCTCATGTCCCCGCCCCGCACCAACCCCTCACCCAACCGCAGAATAAGAAAAGCGCCCCCTCCCTGTTGGTGTGAATCCACGGGCCCTGTCTTTGGGGTCCGTGGGTCTCCCGGGGACGCAATAAACCTTTTCCTTTTCTTTCTTTTTCTGATTCACTCGACTCTTTATTTCTTACGCCGCCTCCTGAGCCACCTAACCTAACATTTGGTGCCTTGAAACCCGGGTGGCACGAGCACTCCATTTGGCCGTCCCTCCGTGGCTCGGGGTGCCCGCCTCTCCCTCCTCGTGGCCCAGGACCTATCAGGACCTCATCTCTTCAGTTTGGCAACTTTTCCCAGTTTGGCAGCATCAGCGGTGAGTCCCGCCCTGCCCCCGTGCCGGTCCCAGGTGGCCGCCTGCCCGCCGGCATCTCTGTCTGTAAAACGCGGCTGCGTCAGAGATTGCCTATCCGGACCCTTCCAGGAAGGTTCCTCTGGACCTCGGAGAGGTAGCAGAGACGTCTGTACCCCGCCCTGGTCCCTCCGTCCGTCCGTAGAGGGGTTAGACCGCTGGGATGCCAGCCTTTCGCCCCGCTACAGGCCATGGACATTGAGCATGGGACATCCAAATTCCAAAGTTGATCTGAGCACACCTCTAGGGTGCCGGGTCACCCAATCTGGCTAAATGCTGGGCCTGCCCTGAACTTGTGTCCTAAATGCTTAACATAGCATGGCCTCAGTATGAAAACGGGACTTTGACTTTGCCGTCCGCACCGATCTCAGGAATTTCTGCCAGCGAACTGGGAAATGTGCCCAAGTCTCTCTCTTACTCTCTCTCTCCACCAGGTCTGCGTCCCTGTCCCTCCCCTGAAAGCTCCTTCTGCCTTCTCTCCTTGCCCTGTCCTCCCTCCTCCCCCCGGGCTGTCACCGCACCACCCTTGGTGTGTGTGGTGTGTGTGGGGGGGTTGGGTTCATGTGCTGTGTGTGTGTGTGGCCGCAACGGCACCACTGTCATCCCCACGCCTCCCACCCCCCTCCACCGGAGACCACCCCGAACTCCCCCCGACAAAGCCTCCCGTTCTCCCGCTGGCTTATGCCCCTGTCCGTCCACACTCTCCCCTCTCCTTCCTCCCTGCTTGACCCTCCGCCAGCCAAGCCTCTGTACCTACTGACCCTGCCTCCCACTGACCCCGCCTCTCCTCTTCCGCCCACCCTGCGGCAGCTGGAAACTCAAACCCCCGGACCACAACCCCGCGCCCCACGCCCTGAGGCGCGCACTGCACCCTCGTCCTTGTCCATCCGCCCACCCGACCGCCAGGCTGCTGCCGCTGGAAGCTCAAGCCACCAGGCGACTCCTCCTCCCCCACCCCCGCCTGCTTCCCCAGTCGGCACACGCGAGTCCGCAGGCTCCACCTTCCTTCTGTCCCTCCTCCCTCTGCCCCGCCCCTGGGAGGTTGCGGCTTTTAAACTCAATTGAACTGCAGCTGGTGTCTTTCTCCGCCAACCCCACTGCATTCATCAAAGAATTCTGGTACCTCTCCCACGCCCACCCAGGCCACCTCTCCCGCTCTCTCCCCTCCCCTTACAGGCCTGCCGTAGTAACCTGTACCCCACGCAGTGCCCTCTGTAAGGTCTAACCGCCCGCCTTCCTCTGTGCGCTCCCCCGAATCTCTGCCCCCATGACTGCCAGCACTTTAATTCACAGGTGGCCGGCCAGTTCCCTTTGCAAGAGGTTGCAGCTGGGCTCTCTTCAGACCCTCTTAACCAGAAGCTTCCTTCTCCCCTATCCCTGAGAGCCCAAATCGCGAGAACGTCAGCTCCAAAACAGCCTCTTCCATTTAGCCCTCAGACCCCAGTCCGAGATTTAGTGAACACAGCCTTTAAGGTTAATGCCCGGGAGGAGCAGGCACAGTCAGATTGGGAGGCCCACCTTCGACAGCAGGTAGACCTGCAGACACGCCTTGGTTGTGGCCCTGTGGTCAACGGCAGCCACCATGGCCCCAAGGGGGCTGTGAGCAGTGGGGGTGCAACGAAAGGAACGCACACCGCCTGGAGAATGCTTCAAATCGGAAATGAAGGCCACTGGGCAAAGCAGTGCCCCCGGCCCCCGGGCTCCAACCAAGCCCTGCCCGGCATGAGGTCAAAGCTGCCACAGGAAAAGTGACTGCCCCTGGAAAGGTGGCGGGCCCTCTGCGCCCCAGCGTGGAGGGGCCGCCCATCCGGGTCATGACCCGCCGCTGGCCATGCTGGGACTGGCTGACGGAAGAAGCCCAGCCTCGACGACTCCAATCACCCTCACCGAGCCTAGGGTCACAATGAAGGTAGTGGGTCACCTTCCTGGTCGACACGGGGGCTACCTTCTCTGTCCTGCCCTCCTCTTCGGGCCCCCTTTATCCTTCCAAGATCTCGGTCATGGGTATTGAGGGCAAACCCACCTGCCCACTGGCCACCGGACCCCTTCCCTGCTACCTTGATGATAGCCCTATAACCCACTCGTTCTTAGCTATGCCTTCATGCCCCGTGCCCCTGTTAGGACGAGACATCCTCACCATCCTAGCGGCCACTCTGTGGCTCACTCAGAGCCCTCCAGCCTCCTTGCTCCTCCCACTCCTGGCCCCCTCCCTTTACAGAGACGCCGATCCTCCACTGCCATGCGTCCTCTTATGGGGCCCAGTTGTTCCAGACCACAGTCGCCTAGCTCAGTCTTCGCTGTGAACGCCTTATCTCCTCCACGACTGTCTCCTCCTCTGAACTGAAAACTGCTCTGACCCCAGCACCTTCTCGCCCCATCCTCCTCCACCCTTCCCAAAGGATTAGGAAAAATTCGGCAACTTTAGAATCCAAGCCACTAGAGGCCTGGGAACAGGCTGTGCGACCTGCTCCCTCCCTCCCCCGCCTTTTCTCCAGCCTCATATCCAGGTCCCTGGCTTCCACTGTTCCATCCCTTTCTCTTTTCCCTTGGATAACAGCGCATTCTAACGTTTTCTCCCACTTTTGCTGCAATACCTACCTCTCTCAGGCTCACAGAGTGCCTCCCACCATCCCCGAAGAAGATTCGACGACACCATCCAGGACCGGATGACCCATCATTCCTCACAGGCTCTTACCTGGCAAGGGACCCTCCAATTTTGCTCAGGTTTTTCATATTTTCAGGTGAAACGGACATGGAATGAAGAGGGAGTCATCAATTCTACTATCTGGAATGGGAAATCCTCTAGTGTCACTCTCTATTTACGAACCCTGGACCTACTCTTATGCCCACCCTCATCAGCACAACTTTCCATCTACTCTCTAACATCAATCTCTTCTGTACATCCTGCTGGATTTGCCTGTCACTGGCTCGAACCCTCATCATAGCCACTGTTCCTTTCGTCTCTATCCCCTCTGGTCTCTCTGGTCTGGGAGGGAGAGGATGACAGTGACCATCAAGGCCCTGGAGAGTTGGGGAAGGGGGGGCACACACACCTCCCTGCTGCCAAACTCTGCCCATCCACTGGGCAGGCGTCTTCCTCGCCGCAGCCATCAGCCTGGGCCCGGGCCCAGGGCAGTCGGGCCCCCCGGCCCCCCGGGAGTTAGGGGGCACCAGCCTGAGCTGTGTCCTCTGAAGGGACCAGCGCAGCTTGTTCTGCCTCCCCTTCCCCTGTGCCCCCAAGCCCCGCCTTGGTCCTGGGGAGCCCGGGCCTTTGCCTGAGGGTCTGAGAAGAGACCCCAGTTATGGCAGCGCGTGGGGACCTGGTGATGGTTAGGGTGCTGAAGGAGGCAGCTCGAGGCCAACGTGGTAAAGAATCATGAATGTACTCAGTCACCTGGGCACCAGGTGGGCTGAGCCCCCACATGGCGCCAGCCCCCGGGGACAGGGAGCTGAGGGTAAAGGGCTCTAGGCCTCTCTGTCAGGGGGAGCTGTCTGGCGGGGCCGGATCGAGGCCGAGTTTTCTGGACTCAGCAAGTGGAACGTGGTCTGAGCCACAGGGAATGTGGTTGTGAAACGATGGAAAGTCCAGCCCCCAGGGCAGGGATGTGGACCCACTATTTGCTCAGACCTGGTGCTGGGAACATGGCCCGCCCCCCAGGAGCCCTGGGTCCCTCCTGATTGCTGGGAACCAGCAAACCGCCCAGGCCGGCCCGTCTGGGCAGGTCCCCGGGTGAATCATGCTACCCCCCCCCCCCCCCCCGTTTCCTGTCTCGCCCTGAACTTGAACTTAAGAATTTTAGTCCCATTTCCTTGAGACTCGGCTCCCGGTCAGGGAGGACTCTTTGATGTGGACAGTTTCTAATTCGTCATTGGCGGCTGACGGACATGGTACATGAGTGCCAGGTGCACAGCCAGTGGCTAGACGAGCTCACCAGGTGCTCACGCTGATGACCCTGGTGTCCATCTGACGGCGTCCGGAGGGGGACCGTGTCCTCAGCTGCACCCCCTGAGCGGGCCTGGCATCCCGGGACCACTTGTCATGCCAGTTCCTGCCTTTGAGCCCCCTCCCCCGCTTCAGCCCCGCCCCCCCGCCCCAGCCCCCTTTGCAGGAAGCCACTACAGACTGACTCCTTGGATACCTGGCAGCAATTTAAAAAGGACATGAGAGCCCTGGCGGTTTGGCTCACTGGTTAGAGCATCGGCCTGGGGACTGAAGAGTCCCAGATTCGATGCTGGTCAAGGCCATGTACCTGGGTTGCGGGCACATCCCCAGTAGGGGGTGTGCAGGAGGCAGCTGATCGATGTTTCTAACTCTCTATCCCTCTCCCTTCCTCTCTGTAAAAAATCAATAAAATATATTTTAAAAAATAAAAAATAAAATAAAAAGGACATGAGAGTGTGCGATTCCAGGGGCTCGGACGCCCGCAGTCCTGGGTGGGCTCTGCCGGAGGTCCGCTGTGGTGCCGCCCGGCCACAGGGCCTGCCGAGGCCTGCTCCGCGCCCCGTGGGCTCCCGGGCTGCCTCCTCGCTGTGCGCAGGGCGCCCGGCGCTTCCCAGGGTCGGGGAGGCCCGACCGGCGCGGCTCCCAGGATGTCCACAGCCACAACACAAGAAGTGCCTGGCCGGCACCGCCGAATCTTCAGGCTTGCGATACAGCGTCAGGGCGGGTGGAAGACACCGGGAGAGAAAAGCCGTACATCCGTCCGCCTTGAAGCCAGGACGCTGTTCCGGAAAAACAAAAATCTCACCGACACAGACCAGGTTAAGCAGTGCCTAGATGACTGCACAGCGAGGATCGAAATCGGACGGCACCACCAGATCCCGTATCCAAGGCCAGTTCATCTGCCTCCAATGGGCCTGACCTCACGACGAGGCCGGGGACTTGGAAGCCAGGAGAAACCGAGGAAACTTTCCAAACCAGTTTATCTCAAGTCTCACGATGAGGTTTCCTAATCCAGGGAAAGTTTGTTTCTCAGATGATGAGCCAACAAGGTCGTCAATGTAAACCAGACGGCAAAACCTTTCTCCTTGACGGGGGCAAAAATTCAAGTATCTTCTTTAAAGCCTCCCAAATATTGGTACTGCCCTCATGACGTGTGCTCACAGTGTGTCGGGGCCTTGCTGTCCGCGGGGATGACACTCATCCTGGCAGTCGCAGACCTCACGGCCCCCCCGAGGGAGGAAGATGGAGAACGGCAAAGCTGCTCGAGGCAAGTCCTCGCCTGGCCTGTCGGCCGACACTGAGACGCCACCCAGTGTCTGGGTTTCTCATGGCTGCTCGCAAACTATCTACCCCCCGCGGAATAGTGTAGGCTTTCTGTTTAAATTATAGATTTGCTTACAGGTGGGCTTTGCCCGCTGGCCGGTGTGGCTGGATTGGGTGTTGCCCTGTACACCCAAAGGTTGCCGATACCAGGCAGGGCCATGTCTGGGTTGCGGGCTCGATCCCGTTTTTGTTCTCGCATTGATGTTTCATTCTCTCCCACTCCCTTCCTCTCTCTAAAAATAAAAAACTGTTTAAAAAAATAATAAAAAATAAATAAAAAGGACATGCCATTTGCCTCTCAGCATAACCACTGTTGCTTGTCTCATTTTTGTTCTCATATGCTTATTTCTAGTCTGCAGATGCAGAATGAAGAGTCTTAAAAGGACTCGAGCCCTTCAGGCGGCAGTCACCTTTCAAGAATTACTAAGGAAAACAAACGGGGGGAGATGCAGGAGGCCACCCATTGTCTTCACTGGCAGAGAGGTGCAAACAAGGCTCCCGGGACGCTGGTGAACTGTGAACCCATGGCAAGGGCCAGAGTTATGCACCAATTGTCTAGTCCAGACAATGGGGGCTCAAGCTATTTCCTGACCAAATAGTCTCAGAGTAAATCCCTCTAATATTTACTGGCCTTTAAGATAGTCTGTCTGCTCCCGGAATTGCCTGCCTAACAGCTAGATGTGTATCCAACGTTGAATAAAAGGCTGGCGAGGCCTGGGCACCAGTGGACGTCCTTTCTCTTGCATTGGGCTTGCCGGCCTGGCCCCCAATATTTCCACATTATTATTTCTTGTCTCGTCTCTTTCATTTGTGTGCGGCCCCTCCTCCAGATCCCGAACCCTGAACCACACGGGATGTGGGGGGACATTCACACCCCCCCCCCCACTGTCAGAACGTTCTCTGTCACCCAGGTCTGCTTGTTGTGTTCAGTTCGTCCTTTGGATCCCACAGGTGAGTGGGACCCTCTGGCGTTTGTCTTTCTCTGTCTGAGCGTTTCACACGGCACAGTCCCCTCTGGGTGCTCCCACGTCCCAATGGCAGACCCCACGCCTCTTCGTGGTGAGTCCTCAGCCTGTCTTGGCCAGGCCACTGCGTCCTCCCTCCGCTGCTGGCGCCCGGTGCCTCTGGTCTTGGCTGTTGTGAGTGACGCTGCGATGCATGTGGGGTGACGCCCTTTTCCAAACAGCATTTGGGTTTCGGGGAGCAGCCGGCAGTGGAGGGGCTGGGCCCTCTGCGCCTCTTGGGGAGCCTTTTTTTTTTTTTTAATATATTTTATTGAGTTTTTACAGAGAGGAAGGGAGAGAGATAGAGAGTTAGAAACATCGATGAAAGAGAAACATCGATCAGCTGCCTCCTGCACACCTCCCACTGGGGATGTGCCCGCAACCCAGGTACATGCCCTTGACCGGAATCGAACCTGGGACCCGTCAGTCCGCAGGCCGATGCTCCATCCACTGAGCCAAACCGGTTTCGCCTCTTGGGGAGCCTTTGATGGAAGGCGCGCCGTGTCTGCTGTGAGCACCGCAGGCAGCTCTCGCTCTCACTCCCAAATCCACGCGTCTCCCTTCCACCCTCCCCTCCGCACCTCCCTCAAGGAGCCCCGCAGAGCGGGTAAGGGACCACCGTCAGCCACCGGAGCTCAAGCTGTGGGTGGTGACGCCCCGGACACGGGCGTGGGGAAGGCCTGATGCTCAGGGGGCGTGTGAGCGGCCGCTCTCCCAGCTCCCAGCTGCTTCCACCTGGAGCAGCGGTTCTCAACCTGTGGGTCGCGACCCCTTTGGTGGTCAAACGACCCTTTCACAGGGGTCGCCTGAGACCATCCTGCATATCAGATATTTACATGACGATTCATAACAGCAGCAACATTACAGTTATGAAGTAGCAACGAAAATAATTTTATGGTTGGTTCACAATATGAGGAACGGTATTTAAAGGGCCAGAAGGTTGAGAACCACTGACCTGGAGTGTGACTGTGCGGCTGCTGGGCTCTGTGGGGCAGGAACCAGCAGGGAGTGTGTGCTGAGCGCTGTTCTTGTCCACGTCAGGGGGTGAAAAGCTGCCCCCCCACCCGCGAGCCCGGAGGACACCCACAGGCTGCTGTGGGGAGGCCGACCCTCCTGGTGGGTGAGGCTCCTGAGGGTGGGGAGGTTGGGGGGGGACAGCCTGGTGGCCAGTCAGCATGGGGTCTCCTTGGGGAAGAGAACACCGGCTGGGGTGGGGGTGGGGGCTTTTGGGGGTGCAAGGCCCGTGCTGATCCTACAGGGGAGGCTCTTTGAGGAGCGGGAGGTCTGAGCTCACCCCCTGCAGCCCCAGGGTCGCCTGCCGCTCAGGACTCAGCGCTGGGTCAGGGGACAGTGGCCTTCCCAGGGCAGACAGGTGGCAATTACACCGTCCCCATCTCCTGGGCACGTCACCACCAGAAAGAAGTCCTCAGAAGGACAGTCTGGCCCGGCTGGTGCTGCTCAGTGGTTGAGGGTGGACCTATGAACCAGGAGGTCAGGGTTCAATTCCCCATCAGGGCACAGGCCAGGGTTGTGGGTTGGATCCACAGGAGGGGGGCGTGCAGGAGCAGCGGATCCATGATTCTCTCTCCTCATTGATGTTTCTCTCTCCCTCTCCCTCTCCCCTCCTCTCTGGAATCAATAAAAGTGTTTTGTGTGTTTTTTAAAGGACAGTCTGGAAGGGGGCTGGGAGGTTTGGCCTGGGAGTGTCCTGGCTCCTCCTCTCCAGCTGGCCCGGCCTAGGAACCCCCCCACCGCCACCCCAATTCCCACTTCCCGGCGGGTCTGGGTCAGAAACTTATTAGCAGACACTCGGTCCAGGTGGGTGGGCTGGGCTGCCTGTGGCCGTGTCCAAAGCCCAAGGCAGAGTTGAGTCACACTAGGGGTGACTGAGAAGGCCAGCCCACCCGCACCCAAAGCCCGTCTCAGCAGGTGGGGGGCCAGGACTAGCCCGGGGAGGGGCCGGGGGCTGGGAGCCCTGCAGGTCCCACGATGCAGCTCTTGTTCTTGGTCGTCGGGCACTGAGCCGAGGCCTGGGCTCTCGGCGGGCGGCCTGGCGGTGCCCGGTGCTGGCCTCCGGGTGCCTTGTCCTCACTTGGGAGGGGCACCCCCGGACTTGGAATCAATGTGTTTGTTTTGCAAATGAATTGGGCGGCTCTATCACTTCCCGGAGCAGAACCGGGCCAAGGAGCAGCCCAGTTCCCGGAAAGCGCCTCCCTGTGGACGTTGGGGCGCAGCCCCCCCCCGGGCTCGGACCTGAGAACCGTCTGGGGCGCCCTGTGGCGGCGCTTCTGAGCTGCACCCCGACGCTGCTGGGGTCCCACGGCCAGTGCTCCTGCCGCCGCCCCCTCTCTCCGCGGGTCCAGGTGCAGAGCGAGCGCATCCCCCCGCGTCCGGGTCTCGCTCTCCCAGCCGCAGGGCCACCTCCGGGCCCTGAGCCCCATCCCGGGGGACCCCCCTCTAACCCCCCCAGCTTCTAGCAACAACAGGCCGCCTCGCCCCGTGCACGTGACTTCGGGGAAACCGAAAACTTCTCCCCCGAAGGCGGAGCCTGGGAGGTGACCACCGCGCCCCGCCCCCTGCGCCCCGCCCGGTCCCCAGGGACGGTCCCTCCGCCCTCAACCCGCGCGCCCCGCCCCCAGACCCTCCGCCCCGCCCCAGTCCCAACGGCATCCCGGTCCCCAACTCCCCCAAGGAGCCCCAGCGGCCCCCTTCGATGCTCCGCCCCTTCCTGCGGCCTGGGGTGTGGGTGTGGGGGGTGGGGGTCCCGCGCTGCAGGCACGCGAGGCTCCCGGGACCTCCTGACGCCTCCCCCGCCCGCGGCCCGCGCGCAGGGTCTGGTCGCGAGCACCGGCCGCTCGGCCTCCTGGAGGCGCCCGGAAAGGGGTCGCCATCTCCGTACGCAGCACACGGGCCGCCCGGCCGCCCGGCCGCCCGGCCTCCCAACCGCCCCGGCCCCGCGGGCGGAGACCCCCACCCCGGGCCGGCGCCGCCCACTCAGGGGAGGGCCCGGCGGCCTCGCGCAGTCCTGCGGCGCCCCCTGGTGGCCGCCTGGCAAACTGCAGCGCAGGGGTTGTGTGGGGCAGAGAAGAGGGCGAGGAGTGGGGTCCCCCAGAGGAGCTGTTACCAGTCGCCCCCGGCAGCCCCCCATCCCAAGTCAGGGCGGGGCCAGGGCCCTACAAGACCTCAATTCTAACTCCATCCGAATTCTGGCCTGATCAGCCTCCATCGCATTTCTGAGACTGAAGCCCAAATTGGACACGTTTTAGCCTGGGGGGGACCCACATGAGGCTCTCGTGTTTTGTTTTTTGGGGGGTGTTGTATATGTTTTCATTGATTTCAGAGAGGAAAGGGGAGAGATAGAAAGAAACATCAATGATGAGAATCATGGATCGGCTGCCTCCTGCACGCCCCCTAGTGGGGATGGAGGCCTCCGGCCTGGCGAGGAGTCTTGTTTTAACCTGTTAGATTGGCCCACGCACCTGGAGAGGACCCACCGGGATGGTGGGAGGAGCCGGTGGCTGGCGGGCGCTGTCTGCGGGGTCAGGGGCTCAGGGCCAGTGTCCCCAGGAAGGGCTTGCTGCGTTTCCCTGGGTGTCTTGAGCGCTGCAGGTCAACCCCAAGGATGCCCCCACCCAACACTGCAGGACGCCCCCAAAAAGACCCCATCCTGGAGCTGCAGGACACCCCCAAGGGCACGCCCCACTTGTTAAACAGCCAAGGAAGAGCAGAACGGGCTGCAGAGGAGCTGGGGCGCAGGGCAGTTTGGGCCGCTCCCCAAGCCCACCCACCCAGGAAGACGAGGTTGGGGAAGCGGCAAGAAGGCCCAGACCGCCCTCGTGGAGCTTAGAGAGCAGCAGGGAAAAGGCAAACTGACGGAGAGACCGAGAATTTCAGAATCTGTGAGGAGGGGGACCAGGGCGTGTGCTATGTGAGCTGTGCTGAGGGGAGGGGCCCCCAAGGAGCCTCCCAGGAAGAGAGGTGGGTACAAGCTCAGCCCCTAGGGACCTGGCAGAGAGGGCTGTGCAAAGGCCCTGGGGTGAGCAGGCAGAGGAGAGGGCTGTGCAAAGGCCCTGGGGTGAGCAGGCAGAGGGGAGGGCTGTGCAAAGGCCCTGGGGTGAGCAGGCAGAGGGGAGGGCTGTGCAAAGGCCCTGGGGTGAGCAGGCAGAGGGGAGGGCTGTGCAAAGGCCCTGGGGTGAACAGGCAGAGGGGAGGGCTGTGCAAAGGCCCTGGGGTGAGCAGGGCTGTTCACTGCCGCAGGGGAGGCACCAGAGGTAAGTGGTCAGAGGCTAGTGCTGGAGGCA